CTGCTCTCAGAAACATCTCCTACAGCCTTAGTAACTTTAGAATCCTGGTCTGTCATAGTGTCTTTTTTACGTTTACCAGCTTTCGAAGTCTGCTTCTCTTCTATGATCCGCACATACGTAAGTAACAAAGAGTTAATAAATGAATGTGATTCAAACATCAAAATGCTATTCAGCAAAACTACATGAAGCCCATACCATTTTTGTCAGCAGATGGAGGCTTTTTAACCAAGGCACTAACAGCAGCCTGATCGGAAGATGGGAGGTTTTGCCAACCTGCCAACTTCGAAACTTGGGTAGACGGAGATTGTTCCATGTAGCAGTTTGCATGGTACCAAGCCAGACCCTTGGCCCCTTTCCCATCTAGGGCCGTGGACAAACGAACCTTCGAATTGTAATACAACTAAATCAATAGTTTTTCTTCAACGAGTTCATGACATTGATGATGCAATTGAGAAAAAAATAATAGAAGCGTGTGCTGCAATGCCCCGCTGTTTTTATTAGTTAAATAACATGCGGAGTTGAGAGATTCAGACCATTGACCTTATGAATCGAGTATATATGCCCGAACCAATTAAAGTATGCTCAAGTTGATATTAACATTTACAATCTTTTGATTTAGATTTGAACTTGAATCCGGCTAAGATGTCTACATATATTCAGATTCACAGAATAAGATGTTAAGGGAATATGCGTAAAAAAGTTACCTCTCCTTTCATAATCTTCTGTTTACAGCGCTTGCAAGAAGCACGAGACGTTTGTGAAACTTCAATACCACACTCTACAGGCGTAACAGCCACTGCAGTTGCGGCTGCACTGTCTTCCACATATTGCCTGATCTTCTGCTGATCTTCCCATCTCAATGAGTCAAGTCCTTCAACATCATCAATTCTATCATATGGCAAATTCGAACCAATGAGCAAATTTTCCAGATGTTATACAAGTATCCATATGGTAAAATATCATTAGCACACATACGATTTGATCTGTTTGGCTTTCTTCAATATGCAGGTACCATGATTCCACATCTGGTTCAGAAAATATGAGCATATCAACATTAAGAATGTTCGATCATAGTTTTATTACAGGTATATACTACGAAATTTAAAGAATGCGTCAAGAATGATGAACGACATCCAGATTGTTGAGATTGTTGGGAGGGAGTCCCACATTGGCTAATTAAGGGAATGATCATGGGTTTATACGTAAGGAATACATCTTCATTGGTACGAGGCCTTTTGGGGAAGCCTAAAGCAAAGCCATGAGAGCTTATGCTCAAAGTGGACAATATCATACCATTGTGGAGAGTCGTGATTCCTAACACAACAACTTAGATAGATTCAAACTAACAATCAAACACTAAAAGAAAGAAGTTAAACGGCATACGTTATTAGGAGAGTTCATTTTCAACCAGCGGAAAATGAACTGAAAAGGCATGATTAGCTAAACAAATTGCAGCCAGAACTGATAATTAAGGAATTTCACAGCGATGCTTCAGCTCTGCACATCGCACAAATAACTCCATTGAAAAAAAAAAAAAAAGAACCCTCCAATCCTTTTCCATTTAAAACAAGCATAATTGAAATGTCTCCATAAACAAAGATTTTAAAAACCGAAAGGTACTGAGTGTCACCGGTCATGCCCGTCCAAGGTGTGTTGCCCGTGGCCACATGCTCATGCCACGCCAAACTCTTTATGTTATTCCATGTTGTTTTGCTTTACTATTATATTTTCAGTTTGTACGACAGTTCGACGAAATTATGTCTAGGTTTGCTAGACCTAAATCGCCTCAAAATGCACTATAAGGGGTGTGACTAGTTGTCAACTCATCCACCTGATTTTGTATGACCATTCGGCGAAATCAGGCCTAGGGCCTGCCAGACCTAAATCGCCTCAACATGTACTATAGAGAATGCAACTAGTTGTCAAATTTTCCCTACCCGAAAAGTTATATACGGTTTAAGTCGTTGTTGCATTTTGCTTGCATGCTATAGAACACCATTTTAAATCTCTCACTCAACCTTGCTTTCAAACTCTCTTTCAAAATCTCTCTACCTGTTTTCTAAACCATTCTTCTCAAATCAGGGCTAGAGGCTTGAGCATACGGACGCAAATACAAATGGACTTAACTCACTTGCTACTAAGAAGTGAGTGCCGGACAGTAGCACAGTCCGCTGCCAAGAAAAGTGCGATGCAAGTGGAAGCAAACAAATGCATATTTTCCAAACGAACAGTCAAAACAAAATGACAAGGAAAATTAGAAAATGGGTCAAAAGAGTGATACGAAACAAAGAACAAGAAGAACAAAAACTAGAACATGAAGCTAACAAGAAGAAACCCAACAAAGAGAATCACTCAAAAAAGCAGGAAAACAGCGAAAGAGAGAAATGGGTGAGTACAGGCATGAAGCCGTCGAATTGGGTAGCCTGAACCATCTTGCCAAAGCGGAGATTCTCCTTCTGAATGGGACTTTTGCAGGTCTTGCAAGAGGATCGAGAAGACTTGGCATATTCCACCTTCCATGGCTTCTGGGGATTCTCCATTTTTTCACCTGAACTCAACACTGGAATAAGAATGCGCCGAAGAACAGTGGCTGCCCACAATCACAAACATATATATAGGTAAGGAATCTCAGGTGCGACCGAATTTGGGAATCTCTGATTAAAAAATTGCCATCGTGGTTCACTCTCCCGATCGAGAGTGACGAAGAGTCGGAAGAGCTTCTTCTCGACGCTTCATTTTGGGCCACGTTGACTTTGGGCTCTCAAACTTCTCCAACAAGGAAAAGTTGCCCTAATATAAAATTCGGCCCAACTACCAAATTACTATATTTTATTTTCTTAATTTATAAAAAATTAAATAAATTAAAACGTTTACTTTTTTTTTTTAACATAGAAATAACAATTTACTCCGCGTACTCTCGAGTTTATATATATATATATATATATGACCGGTTAACCCAACTAACTCGAATTACTCGGGTGGAATAGATTTTTTTTTCTTTTCAGTTTGGTTGGGTTGAATTTTTGAAAAATCGAGAATTCGGTTCAGTTTACGAGTCGATTCTTTTTTTGTTAGGTCTGTTGAATGATGAAGGTCCCACATCGACTAATTTACGGAATGATCATAGGTTTATAAACAAAATTGGTAAGAGGCATTTTGGGGAAGCTTAAAGCAAAGTTATGAAGAGCTTATGCTCAAAGTGAACAATATCATACTATTGTGGAGAGTCGTGTTCGTCTAACATGGTATTAGAGCTAACAACTGGTATCGATCCTAACAACATGGTATCAAAGTCGTGCCTCAATTAAGGGGAGGTGTTGTTCGACCAATTCAGGGAATGATCATGGTTTTATAAACCTAACAAGGTCAACTCAACCAACCCAAAATAGAGTTACGGCCCTACCCCACTTTTGAAAAGATTAAGAATATTTTACAAACATTTGTAAAATAAAGGGTTGGGTTTATGATTATGAACTTAACTGAATAGGTAGCGATTCGATCTCGTCCCGACCTTAATTCAATTAAAAATAATAAAAAATAAAAAAATAGAATGTGGATAGTTTGTGAAGTGAGTGGAGGTCCAACCAACCCCATCCACCAATAAATATTTGGACTCTAGGATCTTATCCATTTCCATCAACTAAATTGGAAGCTTGTATCAATTATACCTAATTTCAATTCTCACTCTTACTTGCTTTTAATTTAAGATTTTGTTCGCTCGTCGTCCTAAAAAGATGGTGCAACACTCGAGTAAAATAAGAGTATATGAACGAATCGAAATCACAGAATGCATATGAGTGAGGACATAACATGCCAGAAGGACTTACGTTGGTTGAGTAACATGACCATGTTGCACGGGAATGTCGAGGTCCTTATCTGAATTATGGGCATGGGTTGTTACGGATGTTGTCTATTCAAACATGGGTTAGTAGATAAACACAAATTATCATTCCAAAGGTTGATGGTTTGATCCTCCACTCTCATAATAAATAATGTTAAATAACTAGTTTAATTGCGTGCTCAACCTAGTTAAGGCGAGGAAATGACGATACTCGTTTGTCTAGTGAATCTTAGGTTGAGACCCAGAGAAGGGTGAGATAAGTCCCACTAGGTAGTTGTTTATGTTGTGAGTCACGGTGACTGAGAGAAGGTTTGTCTTGTGTGTTGTGGACCGAGTCCAAAAGAATGGTGAGGTGGGCTAGATCCGAGAAAAGGGTGAGATAAGTTCAACTGGGTAGTTGTTTATGTTGCGAGTCACGGTGACTGAGAGAAGGTTTTTCTTGTACGTCGTGGACAGAGTCCAAAAGAATGGTGAGGTGGGCTAGATCCGAGAAAAGGGTGAGATAAGTCCAACTGGGTAGTTGTTTATGTTGTGAGTCACGGTGACTGAGAGAAGGTTTTTCTTGTACATCGTGGACAGAGTCCAAAAGAATGGTGAGGTGGGCTAGATCCGAGAAAAGGGTGAGATAAGTCCAACTGGGTAGTTGTTTATGTTGCGAGTCACGGTGACTGAGAGAAGGTTTTTCTTGTGCGTCGTGTACAGAGTCCAAAAGAATGGTGAGGTGGGCTAGATCCGAGAAAAGGGTGAGATAAGTCCAATTGGGTAGTTGTTTATGTTGTGAGTCTCGGTGACCGAGAGAATGTTGTCGTGTAAGTCTTGGGCCAAGTCCAAAAGAAGGTAGGTCCAAGGTGGGAGAAAACCCACAACCACTACTCAGTTGTTTATGTTGTGAACCACGATGATCGAGAAAAGGTTTACCTAATGAGTCCTAGGCCGAGTCTAAGAGAGACGTGAAGAAGATCCAATGTGAGAGATAGTCCGCAACCAGTTGTCTATGTTACTATATCTGTTGGCGATATAATTTATAGATATTGCATAGTTTTCGTATTCATTCTAAAAACACGACTATTTTTCATAAATTTTATATTTTGTGGGGTTAGTGGAGAATTTAAAAAATTTAAGACTTTAGAAACTAAATTTATTAGGTTGAAAGTTTGATATTCATTACCATTAATGTGTTCAATATATATCTCTTACTCCCCGTCAAGATTCGCCGATCGTCTCCATTTGTCACCGTTTCCAGGCTTCAGCTATCCGATAATTGGTTCTGGTATGTATCTCTTCACCTCCTTCCTCCTGAATCTCTGTAAATTCCCTTTTCAATATTGATCTTCGAGGTCGGATTATCGATGCATCTGTTTTTCTTAATTTCACTTGCCTCCGATCAACATCTACTCTAATAAAGTTCGAATCCTCAACAGGAAAGTGCGTAGGCAACAGATCGAGAAATCTTTGATTCGAATTCAAGAACGCGCAGGGTTGGGCGTGGATTCTGTTTCGTTCCGGGAGAGTCATGAACGCGAGAAGGTTTTTCTTGAATCTTTCGATACTCATCTTTTAAGTTTCTTTCCTGTTAAACAATCTGCGAGAGTCGCCAATGTTTTTCATCTACTGGATTTACATTTACGATTCAGGATCCTGTTGCTCTTTTATAGGCTACTGGATCTTTATAGGTCGATGACTTGATGAATTTGAATCTGTATTTGGTAGGAGGGCTTCATTTCTATTGTATGTATTAGGGTTTTTCATTCAGTAGTTTTAAGTGTTGGGACTGCAATCTGCGAAATGTACTTGCTTATTTCTTGATGCACCACAAAGATGCAACATCTGAAGAGTACTTTTCTAGCTCATTTTCTTGCCCATACTTCCCATATTAACAACATTCATAAGCTCCAGTTTTTTTTTTCTTCTTTTTTTTCAAGCATTTCTTGATTCTGTTTGCCGACACTTTATACTGATATAGTCTTGAAGTTCATGATATCTGTTCTTTAGACATGTAATATTGAACTCCTTATATTATGCTATGACTTTCTATGCCTGTACTTGAATTATTCGAACTGTTTAGTGATTTGGCATTAACACCATGTAACTTTTTGGTGATGATTTTGGTATGCATATTGACATTTACTGATTTTCATTCTTTAGTTCTCAATTTTTATGTTAAACTTCTATTCAAAATACAAATTTCTTTTTCTCATGCCCTTATATGCACCCTTGAAAGTTGAATGGAAGTTCTGAAAGTCCCCTTTTTTAACCATAAACGGAAGAGTGTGTGCTTAATCTTGGGTTGATCTTCCGAAGTGCTCGTCGTTCTACTTGTAATATGATCTCTTGGAGTGCAGGGAATTGCGCAACAATAGGGTTGCTCTCTTCGATGGCATTGAGGAGGGTGGTGTTAGGGCCTCATCTTCATACTCCTCCCATGAAATTGAGGAGCATGATAATGAAGCAGCATTAGGAGGCTTGCAAGATAGAGTCCTCCTGTTGAAGAGGGTATTACTTTCTTACCCAGTTTCATTCACTAATCTTAGATGTTTGAGTGTCAGGCAGGAACTGAGAAAAAATTATGCTCCTATAATATGCTGCAATTATTATCAAGAACTAATTTTGCACCTACAATGTGCTTCAATTATTGTCAAGAATGAATTCTGCACTTATGATATGCTGCAATTATTGTCGAAAACGAAATTTGCATATATAATATGTTGCATTTATTGTCGATAACAAAATTTGCACCTATAATATGCTGCAATTATTGTCGAAAACTTAGATGACGAAAGTACTGTCTAATGTGTGATGATATATTGTCGAAAAACACACGAGGGATATATAAACTCTGATGGTCGAGAGCTGTATTTATGCTTATATATATTTACCCGAATCACATACAAATCGGACGATGTTATTGTAACAGTTGACAGGTGACATAAATGAGGAGGTGGAGAGTCATAACCGCATGCTGGATAGGATGGTACGTCAACTCCAACTGTCTTACTTAGTTCTTGCTGTTATTATTCACCGTGACTAATTCTTGCACGTTTTGGTTTAGGGCAATGATATGGATTCATCAAGAGGAGTGTTGTCGGGCACTATGGATCGATTCAAGACGGTAGGGTCATCTTCTCAAGAACAATTCATTCGCACTCTTTTGACAATTCCTTTTTCAGCGTTTTCAACATCAATTTTGATCTGTTTAGGTATTTGATCCCAAGTCAAGACCGAAGATGTTCTCACTAGTCGCACTTTTTGTGGCAATTTTCTTCATCGTGTACTATCTCACAAGGTAATCCTCCTGTCTGGATATTGAAAATACTCGAGGTTTACCCGGAAGACAATGATCGCTATTGCTGCTTAGTCTACCAGTATTATTACCTGTAAGTTTGGCATAGATGTTCTGTTGTTGATGCCTGTGTGAATATGTTTCCTTGTACCAAACAAAAGTTGAATGAGTTTATCATGTGCTGCTCTTTAGTGAGCCGACGTTGATGGGGAGATATATAATCAGCAAACCAGTTTGTTAGTTGGGAGTTTTATATCCTCCTTGCCTTATTTAGATTATCTGAAGCTATCACCATGAAGTTCTTAAGCTTGCTGCTGGGATGTAATTTCTGAAGAAGATAGAGTAATGAAAATGGTAGGAAAAATTACAAAATACTCGAATTTTGTCCATCTTTTTGAAAAAGTGTATTAATGAAGTAGAAGTCGATTCGAATGCTGAACTAAAGTTGGGATGTGAAATGGTCTAGTGCTGACTTGAAATGAAAATTGGATCTCAAGCGGAATTCATATTTCAGTAGAACCCGGGAGAGTTTTGACTATTCCAAATTCACTGTTCTGGGGTGTTGGTCGAGATAAAGAAAGGGAAAGGGGCGAAAGAAACGCTTTACCTTGTTTACAGTTAAATCCAGAAAGAAAAGAAAGAGACCCATCCACTCGAGAAGGAAAGGACAGGAGCAAAGAAAGATGTATACTCTATTTAAAGGATTGGAAAGGAAAATGAACCATACTCTATATGAATAACTATTTAAAGGATTGGAAAGGAAAATGAACCATCTTGGAATCAACTTGAATTTGTGACTCCAAGCTTGAATTTGTGACAGGGTACTTAGCTAAGAGGTTGATAAAATGAACAAGTTGAAAACAGAACAAAATAATTAAAGGATTGGAAATTGAAGAGGAAAATGCACCAGCTGGAAATTGAAGACCGAGTCCGTACCGTGGCATGGTACTATTCTACCACTAGACCACTAGTGCTAAGAGGTTGATAAAATAAATAAACTGAAAACAGAACAAAGTAATTAAAGGATTGGATAGGAATTGAACCCATTGACAGAATACTATTCTACCACTAGACCACCGGTGCTACAAGAGTGGTAAAATAAATAAGATAAAAACAGAAACAACTAATTAAAAGATTGAGAAGGAAAATGCACTAGCCGAGAATTGAACCCGAGTCTATACCATGACAAAGTACTATTCTACCACTAGACCATTAGTGCTACAAAGTTAATAAAATAAATAAGTTAAAAACAGAAATAACTAATTAAAGTTGTGATTGAAAAGAAAAATGCACAAGCCGAGAATTGAACCCAGGTCTATACTGTGGCAGGATACTATTCTACCACTAGACTAGTGGTGGTACGCGGTTGGTAAAATAAATAAGCCAAATACAGAAACACCTAATTAAAGGATTGAAAAGGAAAATGCACCGGTCGGGAATTGAACCCGGGTCTGTACCGTGGTAGGGTACTATTCTACCTAAAATGCAGAAACAACTAATTAAAGGATTGAAAAGGAAAATGCATCAGCCGAGAATTGAACTCAAGTCTGTCTAAAATAACAGAAACAACTAATTAAAGGATTGAAAAGGAAAATACAAGCCAAGAATTGAACCCAAGTCTATACCATGGTAAGGTACTATTTTACCACTAGACCACTAGTGCTACAAGGTTAGTAAAATAAATAAGCCAAATATAGAAACAGCTAATTAAAGGATTGAAGAGGAAAATGCACCAGCCGGGAATCGAACTTGAGTCTGTACCGTGGCAAGGTACTATTTTACCACTAGACCACTGGTGGTACGAGGCTGGTAAAATAAATAAGCCAAATACAGAAACAACTAATTGAAGGATTGAGAAGGAAAATGCATTAGCCGAAAATCAACTATTCTACCACTAGACCACTACCACAAGTGCTATGAGACTAATAAGATAAATAAGCTAAATACAGAAACAACTAATTAAAGGATTGAAAAGGAAAATGCATCAACCAGGAATTAAACCCGAGCCTGTACCGTGGCAATGTACTATTTTACCACTAGACCACTAGTGCTACAAGGTTAGTAAAATAAATAAGCCAAAAATACAGAAACAACTCATTAAAGGATTGAAAAGGAAAATGCACCAATCGAGAATTGAACCCGAGTCTGTATAGTGGCAAGGTACTATTCTACCACTAGACCACTGGTGCTATAAGGTTAATAAAATAAATAAGTTGAAAACAGAAATAACTAATTAAAGTATTGAAAAGAAAAATGCACTGGCCGGGAATCAAATCTGGGTCTGTACCGTGGCAGGGTACTATTCTACCACTAGACCATTGGTGCTACGAGACTTGTAAAATAAATAAGTCAAATACATAAACAAATAATTAAAGGATTGAGAAGGAAAATGCACCAGCCGGAAATCGAAATATTGAAAAGAAAAATGCACTAGTCGGGAATCAAACCCAAAAGGTACCATTCTACCACTAAACCACTCGTGCTACAAGACTAGTAAAATAAATAATCCTAATACGGAAACAACTAATTAAAGGAATGGAAAGGAAATTTGGGTCTATACCATGGCAGGGTACTATTCTACCACTAGAGCGCTGGTGCTACAAGGCTAAAATAAATAATCCAAATACAGAAACAACTAATTAAAGGATTGAACAACCGAGAATCAAACCCAGGTCTGTATCGCGACAAAGTACTATTCTACCACTAGTACTACGAGATTAGTAAAAACATAAGTCAAATACAGAAACAACTAATTAAAGGATTGAAAAGGAAAATACATCAACTGGAAATCAAACCCGGGTCTATATCATGACAGGGTATTATTCTACCACTAAACAACTGGTGCCACAAAGAATAAAATAAATAAGTTAAAAATAGAAACAACTAATTAAAGAATTAGAAAGGAAAATGCACCAGCTGGGAATCGGACTCTAGTCTGTATAATGACGGGTACTATTTTATCACTAGACCATCGGTGCTTCGCAATTAATAAAGTAAATAAGTTAAAAACAGAAATGAGTAATTAAAAGATTGAAACGTAAAATGCAACAGCCGGGAATCGAACCAGGGTCTTCCGCCCGCTTTTTTTTAGCCCAAATATAATTGGGCCTGCCTGCAAACTTCAGCTTGTTTTTTAGCTTACATTAAATTGGGCCGGAGTCCAAATTAGGCCCGCTTTTAAAGCCCAAATTTAATTGCGCCGGGCCTGTAAACTTCGGCCCGCTTTATTTAGCCCAAATTTGATTGGACAGGCCTGCAAACTTAGGCCCGCTTTTTTAGCCCATATTCAATTGGGCAGGCCTGAAAACTTCAATCCGCTTTTTTAGCCCAAATTAAATTGGGCCTCCTGCAAACTTCAGCTCGCTTTTCAGCCTACATTAAATTGGGTCGGCATGCAAATTAGGCCCGCTTTTAAAGCCCAAATTCAAATTGGGCCGGCCTGCAAACTTAGGCCCACTTTGGAGCCCAAATTCAATTGGGCCGGCCTGCAACCTAAGGCCTACTTTTGTAGGCCATATTCAATTGGGCCAGCCTGCAAACTTCGGCCCGCTTTTTAGCTCAAATTCAATTGTGCTGGCCTGGAAACTTCGGCCCGATTTAGCAAAAGTTAAAAAGACCGAAACCCTACTGGTTGGAACGTCTCTTTTTATCTCGTTAATCTTAATGTAATTTTAAATTAAATGGAAAAAAAGATGTTAAGAATGAGATAGAAAATAGAATTGGGAAGGTTTGTATTATCATTGATATTGATATTCTTTAAATAGGATACAAGCCGTACAAATGAGGAAAATATAAAATAATTAAATACTAGAATAAAATAAAATATACTATAAATCTAACCATAAATGGAAGAATATTAAGATATAATATCTAAGATATATTCCATAAATAATATATCTCAACAAAAAATAATAATGGAGGATTGAAAATGGTAAGGTTTCTCCATGAATCTCCAAGAACATTGGCACGCCCACAACGTGTAATAATCATCGTACAAAATGTTGTCTAAATTAATTACTTCAATTTCACAAAATCTATACAAATTTGTTCATGATAATCATGTCATGTAGAAGCCTTGAGATGCAAAACAACTTTGCTCCCATCTACTTTTTATTCGAAAGTATTCAAGCTCAAGTTTTTAATTTCATACAAAATTTAAAAATAAAAAATAAAAATCAAATTTACGATCCTACAAAACACACAGAATGTGTTGGTGACAACAACAATGACAATAACTGATCATGTGTTAGCGACATCTCAATTTTCGTACTGAATTTTCCTCATTTAAAAATTTTAATAGAGATATGCACCAAAATCAAATAATGTTCTCTTCAGAAGGAAAATAATTCACACAATGAAGAAATAGATGTAAAGATTTATATAGATATATGTAACTTCACACACAAATGATATATGGATCGTAATGGAAAAACATTGAATTATATAATATTACTTCTACTACTACCGATCATGGCCGAGTCGAAGCTCCAAATCAAGTTCTTCGTGATTATCATCATTGTTCTCACCACTATTGTCATCTGATCTCTTCTCTCGACGATCGGTCGAAGCAAGGGCAGGCGACGATCGCGAGGCTAGGCTCATGTTGAAAGCATTCAAATATTGAGGATTGTTGGTGTCGTTCGAGAGTTGATGATCATGGGGTGGCGTAGTAGAAGAACCCAAATACCAAGAGGAAGAAGGGGGGAAATAGGTTTGAAAAGGTTGGTGCGAAGGATGGTTATTGAAGAGTTCGGGCTTAGAGGGAGAAGTAGTTTTGGCTTTGACACGATCTTTACGGTGGATATTCATGTGTCCGCCAAGGGCTTGAGCTGTCGTGAATCCTCGTTTGCAAAATACGCACTCGTAGGAGCGCCCACTACTTATTTGGATGCTGGTCTGGTCGATCTCTTCGGTCGTTGTTTTTGAACTCTGATCTTCATTGGTGGCGGTGGCGGCGGTGACGGTGGCGGTAACGGAGGCGGTGGGAATAGGGTTAGGGTTCATAGGGGATGATTTTGCTTACCCCCCAACTTTGGTATTGTCTATACTAAGATCTATAAGAAGAACAAATAAGAAAAAGTCTTGCAAGAATTTTTATTTTATTGTTTTTTTGGTTGTGATGAGACAGCCATTACTTCGCCGGCTCTTGATGTATTCATCTTTTGGAGACAATATTATGTTTTTTTAATCTATTTTTTCTTCTCTAGGTTGTCTTCAAGTAGCTTAGATCTCTTCGTCTTTACCCTTTTCTAATA